ATGTAAGTTGCTGGGCGGCAGGACTTTTTATTGCTTTAGCTAGTAGGTTTTCAGTTAATTTTCTGAAAATTTCTTCAGAGTTTTGCAAGCCACATACAGCACAAGGACCATTATTATAGTGTGTTTTTCCTCTTACCATTACTATTAGACAAAGTCAAAACTAAATAAGATCAGAAAAAACTATTTTTTGATCAGTGTAGTAAAGACAACACCGAACCTTCTTACAAATTAATAGGTTGTAGTGTTATAAATTTTCGCGTGACTATACTAAGTGACCTTTTTGCTTTTTTTAAAGTAACGCATTAATATAAATTACCGATCACATTAATTGATTATATAATACATTTATTATCCAATAAAAATGATTCTTAACCATGCTCATTCGGACCTGGACTGAAAAGTGAAATTTTCAACTTATTGGTCGCTGGTATGTGTCACATTTAACAAAATCAATGGGCTATGGTACGAATAAAAAAATACTTCTGGGAAAGTAGTCTACTGAAGGTTCTCCATCCTCCGCTGTCGAAAAAAAAATGTAGTCTGAAAGTTGAGATGACTATTGAATATGTTGCCCACACACTCGTGATGTCATTTGTATTTCATATGTAACCAATGTACAGTACATAAATACATCTCCGCAACAATAATTTACTCTCTAATATTTCTGAACAATGTCTGATAGTAAGTAATAATACGTAATAAATTTACAACATCTCTTCTTTCTAAAGCCTAAAATGTATTTCGCAGGCATGTTCTCTTATCTCAACGCCACGATATACAGAATAACTCTTCACCCAAACTTGGACTTCAGGATCGCGATCATTCCAGCTATTCCAGGAAGCGCTATGATTTATTTCACGGATGCGACAGTAAATTTTCAAATAATTTATATTAAACTGAACTATAAATTCATGTTCCAATTTTTTGTTATTCTATTGATAGATCCCGCTTAACGTCAGCAATATAATACCTCCTGATTCTCAATTCACTATCATAGACTCATAGAGAAATAACCTAAAATAGTAGTTCTCAACGGGATAACGTGTTTTGTCATTTTTGAAACCAGAGGGTACACGATAAGCCTAAGTGGACAAGTTATTTTTATGCTGAAAACTCAAATTCAGCAATGTACAATCATTGCACCCGGTATAAACTACTTTACGATTTAATAATAGGCAAATCAGATGACAGTTATTATATTATCCTTTCATAAAATGTGATGACGTTTATCTAATTTTTTTTAAAATTTTTAACTTTGCATTATTGGATATTTTTATGTATTGCTGTAATAAAAAAAAATTCAACACGTATTTATAAATTTAAAAGTAAATTGAATATCATATTCTTTATTATATTTTTTGTTGTAAGGCAATAAGTAAGGCAAATTTGGGGGTTCTGGGGTCAAAATCGAAAAAAGATATCCAGAAAGATCCCAATCATAGGCCAGAAGCTCTTC